CCCCCCCCCCCCCCCAAAAAAAAAAAACAAATAAAAACGGGAGAGCATATGTTAGGAATCAAAGAGTGCTATTGAAATGGAGGACGAGTTGAATTTTTTTTTTTTTTTTTTTTTGCCCCCTCACTTTTCTGCAGCAGCTGCCAGCTTTGTAGTGTTGAGTGGCGTGAGCGCAGGAGGTGCCTGTGCTGGTCATCGCACGTTAAGCACCTCAAAGATCAAGACGCTACGCGCCACGCTCTCCATTGGCCATTCAAACAGGAGCCTATCTTGTTTGATGCCCGTCGGCTAATCACCGTGTAGTAATCCACAATTCCACGTCGAACATGATTCTGCACCTGCCCCCCCTACCCCCCAGCCCTTCCTCTCAGCAAGAGGGCCCAGTAATGAGGTAAAGCCCACCATCTGGGAGTGGCGACAGGATCCTCGAAAGAGAATGGCCGCAATTGATGATCATCCTTTTCGGATCCCAATTGTGGTCAAATCGATCTTCTGGTATGATTGTGCTGGCCTTTCTGTCCCCCCCCCCTTCTGTCTGTCCGATCGCTTCTGGTACCTTCCATTAAAAAGTGACCCCTCAGTTGTCGAAAGTTGTACACTTTTGGTTTGTTTCTGTATGGCTATGGAAAAGTGAAAGCTGGTTCATCCTATCCTGTGATGAAAGAAGAGGACCCACGTGGACTTTTCTAGACTCCTGAGATAATCAAATTCATTGCATGACTCGTCCACGTTCTCACTTTTGATGCACGTTGAGTTTCGTCGAATAAGTTCTCCGTGGTTGGCGACACGTCAGAGCCTTCCTTTCATTTGACTGTGGACAGCGAGAAAGACTTTGTGGCTGGCAGGTTAAAAAATGTCGGTGTTTCTGTGTGGGTGGCAAACTGGCAGGACTCAACAGGCTTCACAAATCTCTGCTTGTTTTGCAACTGCGTGGGGTGCGGCTAGCTTGTCCTCAACCAGAGAGTTATAGTATGTAAGACAATTGTTCGCACATGAGTAGATTTGGACTGATAAGGTCAAACGTGACGACAAAACGCTCTCAGCGTCTTCAAACGATGAGAACATTTACCTGTCTTTCCACTGCCAATTCTGTTCAGCTGTTTTCTTTGGTTAAAGTCAGTACCAAACAAGACCCCGCGCGTGTCATAAAAGTATCGGCGGCGTCGTGTGTTTAGAGCCGCAGCGTACTTATGATGAGCGCCTTGATGAAACCGTGTCTCCGAGTGATGTCGTATGCAGGTCACACAAACGCAACTTCTGTCCCTCGGCGCGACTGCCGCTTGGGCTGCAAAACCGCCCCGCCGACCGCGGTACTAATCCCACGTGCTAAAATAAGCCACGGGTATGTCTCATGTCAGCCTCCTCGCCAGCCTGAGACAAAACACGCTCACTTCATCAGAACGCAAAGCACATTCCTTGACTCTTTTCGGCGACGCGAAACACGCGAGACGCCGTCAGCCGCTTCCCACACTGTGAACGCTTGCTCTCTTTTCTGCCGCTCTTTAATTGCACATCTGATGGCGTGTCATGCCGCACATCCTGTTGATGTGACAACATGACCGCCGGGCACATAAACAGCTATTTCCACCCTCCGCCATGCAAGCCCGACGACAATGGGACATGTTTGAACATTGACTCATCAGGATTCCCTCCCTGAAACCTAATCCGCCGCGTCAACGCCCATCTTTTCTTTTGGGAGACAATGTTTGAAAGTCCTGTGCCCCCCCCCCCCCCCCCCCCCCCCCCATCACGCTTGTATCAGTTGATCGTGACCTTCTGACATCTGCGTGCGGTTGGTTGTCGGTGCCGCCGAAGACTTTGTCCAACGTCTCCTTCGAGTGCCTCGTTCGATCGGAATCATCTCCGACCACGAGATGTATTTGATCAAGCCTCCGATCATCTCCCACTTTATTTTTAGAGCACGTCTTCTGTCAAATCCAGTTGACCATCGTACAATACAACACATCGCCGCAACCTTTCACTCGTCTTTTCAAGTTCCATCTATTGTCTGTCCGTTTATCGTCCCTTTTCATAGCGAGAGTCCGATTCGTTTCCCGGGATATTTGATCCGAGGGGCCGCAAATAGCCGGGGTTCAAGATGCATGTCGGGCATGCGTCGTTTTACAAGTCGGCATCGGGTTCAAAGAATCTGATTGCTTTAGCGGCAAGCCAGACTCAATAAATCAAAGATGATTTGACATCCTTGACTTCAAGGGCCCGTGCATCAAAGGGATCATTACGGATGCGCGTCACCTTCCGCTAACCCCGGCGTTGAAACATGTCAATCGGCTTACTGTGATTGCATTTGCTCACGCTGTCTGCTTCCATCTGATTTCTTCACAGAATGGCACAAAAAAGTCCTGGGACTTCATGCGAACCCACGACAGGTAAATCTTGCAAACCCTTTACACCAATTCCGCACGTGCGCACGTTCACCACTCGAGTGATACAGTTGGTAGAAGTGTTGATGTGTGCGCTTGTGCTCGGCTCAGGGGTCTCGTCAATGGTTATAAATGTCGAAAGCGTCACAGGGTGCCCTGTCAGCGAAAACCCTGGTTCCTGCCGCGTTTTGCCTGCGTTACACGACTGCCGAGCGCTGCGTCTCGGGTCATTTAAGCCTCTTTTCCTCTTCTCCTGACCCCGAACCGAGGTCCACGTGAGAAATAGTACCGCTGAGACGAACACAACCTCAAACCTATATTTCCAAGAAGAAATAGGCGACTTGTCTCGAGGTGCAAACGCTGCCAAAACACGATTTCCCGTTTTGACGTGTCATGAATGGGCCAAAATTTGTTTTGAATTTCTGTTCAAGTGGCCTTAGCAGTTTCCCCTCAACAGTTATGTCTACGTGAGTCTTAACGCTCGAGCTTCTGTTTTGAGACCATTTTGGGGAAAAGGAAAAAAAAAAACACCCACCTTAATTACCAGGACTGCAATGACCACAGAATGTTCTGAGGGACGCCATGATAATCATCCGCCAGCGCCACAAAAACATGTGCGCGCTTGGTGGGTAGAAGTCCCATTGTGTTGTTATTTTGACACCTTTGTGTTAGCGGTGGCAGACTGGCGCTTTCCAAGAAACCAGATTTGAAAACAGAAAAATAAATAAATAAAAAAATGCAGGGTTATAACACATCCGTCGCGCGTAACCGCAACCTCGTTGAATAACATTGCGCCAGTCACGCTGTCAACTTTAAACGCTTCTCTTATTTTGCGTCATAGGAAACGACATTGCGGCGGCTGTTTTGGTACTTGCCACCATCAGCGGTTTTCACCTTCGACCTGCTCTTCACGTCCCCCTCATATCCTACTGTCTGCTTTCGAGCCCCTTTGAGACGCTCGCTCGTTTAACGATGCATGCAAAGCCCCGAGCGTCTCGGTAGAAGCGTTTTGTCTGTGGGAAGCTGCAGAAGAGTTGTAAATGGTGTGGAACACTTCTAAAAGGCCGCCTGCCCTCAAGGGACAGCTTCCCTGCCTCAGGCCTGCATATGCATGCCCCACTTTCTCGCCTCCAATCTGTTGCTGCATAATTGTACCTATTCCCCTTGCTCTGCTGCCATTATATTTTGAAGCAACCCTTTTTTTTTTCCTCCCCTTTCTCAACTCTTGCAGAAGTTCCCATAAACATGCGGCACTTGTCGGTCTCTTTGTTTTTTTTTTTACTCTTCTCTCGAGTTCATGCGACACTAGCTCAGTAGTGTTTAAGTTATTATTATAATTTTTTTTTTTTGTGAGCAGGTGTGCCCAGACTTTTTTTTAGCAGGCAAGCTACTTATAAATTGACCAAGTCAAAATGTATTTCTAAATATGCTGAGAATTCCACTTAAATGTACCATACTATTGTGTTGTATCAGTTCCACCACTAGGGGGCACTAAGGAGAGGAGAATCTTAGGTACTCGAGAGAGAATCCGAAGAAGAACAAAGCCGATGGAAAAGGAGAGTTGTTGAATGCCGCCTTACGACTACGCGCTCGTTGCAAATAAAGCAAAGTAAAAGGGACGACAAGCATGCTTCTTGGAACACAACAAATGTACTGCATGTTGGTTTAGCTTGCATATTGTGCAACATGAATTAATGATTAAATGTGCACGCTGAGCCATTTAGTGAAAAGCGGCGATCATCCGCATGCATGGCTCGGCAAATCAGCGTCGCATTATTTTCCCCTCATAAAATATCCTCATCATTCTGCACTGCTTCGTATTAGAGGGAAAAGTGTCTGCCGTTGCCACGGCGATCCTCAATAAGCGTCTCTGGTGATAACCTGTGCTGAGCGAGTTTGGCAATTTTAATTGCAGGACGTGAATGCTCAACGCATCTGCTAACCTACGTTCATCATTGTTGATTTGCATTAACCGCCGGGGACTTTTAAATCTGTTACTCTTGACAACTGTCGTCGTATGGACTATTTGTCACATACTTCTTGCTTTCTTTTATACATTTGCCTAAGAACTTTGTATTTCCCCCTTTTTATCCTCAGCGTGTCCGTGCTGATATTCAACACCACCTCCCACTGTTTTGTTCTTGTCAAGCAGTTCCGTCCAGGTATGTTTCATCCGCCCACCGGCTTCAAAGCACACAAAACATTGTCTGCTGGTACCCTGGGGTGTGGCTTATTTTTGTTCCACCTTTCACCGTGTGAGATTTTGATTGTTAAGCACTTTCACTAAAAGTGTAGTACACTTACAAATCCTGTTTATTGATGTGGCTTGGAGCCACAATGCTCAAATGCAGCGCAAGAGGCCCACCTCCTTTGTGACACAATGCCAGAGGCCGTTTCGCACTGCACTTTTAAATGCAAGGAAGTCTGGGTATTGATATGTTTTTCCGCTCCGAGAATAATAACGACGACGTAGCCTTAATCTGAATCTTGACCTCACATTTGTTTCAACCCGGGGGCTTCATGATTTATGTACCACCTTGTCAACTGCCCCCACAAGAATAATGTTTACATTGCTCGATTTGATCAATACGGCCGAATGAAACTTGCAGACTAATATGAGTGTCGGCCCTCCAGCTGTATACATGTGCGAGTGGGAACGGACCAAAACGCAGCCATGTGAGGCCGCCGAAAAAACGGAGGAGGGGGCCAGCGAAGCGGTCGCCTCGGGCTCGGAGAGTCGGGAAGATCGGGCTGACGCAGAGGGGGGGAGCTCGTCCGCGTGGCCTCCGGCGGCCACGGGCATCACGTACGAGCTGTGCGCCGGGCTGGTGGACAAACCCGACCTCTCCTTGGAAGAGATCGCCAGACAGGAAGTGTTGGAAGAATGCGGCTATGACGTACCGGCTTCCAAGCTCAAGCGGATTACTTCTTACAGGTGAGCGTACGGTAACTGTGTTATGTCGACCGACAAGCACCGGCGGCGCGTGCATTCTATTTCTACACACCCATTCTATATGCATACTTATGTGTGCCTTTTATCTTTGGCAGTCAGTCATTGATTTCAATCAAAGCTTCGAGCGTGTAGCACCTTTCATACTTAAGATAATTATTCACGCTGTCATTGACGCCTATGGACAATTTGCTCTTCAAATACCCGAACATCAATGTTTTTAGAATGTGGGAGGAAACCCGAGGCGAGAGTGCAGCAAGTGCATTGACGTGCCCTTCAGAATAAAGCGCCTCTGTCAAACGAAACGTCGCTTTTCGTTCACCGCCGACGACCGATTTTCTTCGGGTCATGCAAGCGAGGTGGAAGGACGCATCAGGGGAGCCGTCCGTCTTTTTAAACATGATTAGAGGGCTGCAGCCAGACCACGGCGGTAGAAAAGCGGGAGAAAAACAATCCCACATTAGCCAGCCGCACCTGCGCAGCCCGTGGACTGGCGGCTCTCATAACTCTTCTTTTGATATGACTCAGGTGCCTCCTCCAGCTTTGTTGGTGTCGTCTATGGTCGATATTACGTGTGGGCCTCTCGCGTTTAATAGATGGGTATCGCCTTAACCCTCATGACCCAGATGAGGGTGCTTTTGACAGAAGTGCGCTGCGCGGCGAAGCTGAATGCTCAGGTCGCAGCCCGCTGCGATGATTCCGCTTGGCGGCTAAACGGGCTTTGTCGAGCTTTCTAAATAAGGAAAGAGTGAAAATGACAGGTCTCACGCTGCACAGGATGTTATTTGGGGTAAGCAAATGTTACACGATATCTGATTCATCAGATAACGACATTGATCTCTAATCTGTCCTTTTCACAATACCCTGGCGTTTTTTTTTTCTTGAAGGTTGGTACCTGCATCAAGGTCAATTGTTTCCCTCGATGCTTGCAATTCTAAATGTGTGTACATATTGCTCGAGAGACAATCCATCAAAATCGCAATTTCTCGCGGCATACACACGAGCAGTTTCAGCAAATGTGTTCCATCTAATATTTGATTTCTTCATATGGCTCCTGCACTTATCGGTTCTCCAAAACGAAATTGCACTCATGTGATATCTAAACAGCACAGCAGGGTGCATCGCATCATCGGTTTCGATCGGTCCACTCATGACCATCGAAAACAAACAAACAGCGTAGTCGTCATTGTTTTTTTTTTTCATATTAACTTGTGAATGAAATTATTTTTAGAATTGTGTACCGCTTATTTGTAAAGTAGCAGCACGTGTTTATCGCGCCCTCTTTTGTCTCCAGGTCCGGCGTGGGAGTCACGGGGTCCAAGCAGACCATGTTTTATGCCGAGGTATCCGACGACAATTGCGTGAGCGCGGGCGGAGGTGAGCCTCGGGAGGGCGAGCTCATTGAGGTGGTCAAAGTTCCGTTGCACGAAGCCATGACCTTTGCCTACAACGAGCGCATTCCCAAAACCATGGGCGTCATCTTTAGCTTCATATGGTTCCATAACAATATGTCTCCCAAGTACAAGATCTCCACCAACGTGTAACTAGCGTTAACTTTTATGTCAATCGCCGGCCCAGCGCAGCCACTCACTTCCACACGCCATCGCCCCCCCCCCCCCCCCTCCCACCGGGTTTTTTCCCCCTCCACACC